CATTCAAAATATTGAAAATACCAAATGCTGGTGAGGATGTAGAGCAACAAGAACTCTCATTCATTGCTGGTGGGATGGAAAATAGTACAGTTACTTGGAAGACAATACAGGTTTCTTCAAAGTTAACCATAGTCTTACCATCAATCTTGCCAGCTACTATACTCATTTGGTTTTTACCCAAATGAGTTGATAACTTAAGTCAACACAAAACAACTTCACATGGATGTTTATGGAAGCTCTGTGATTGCCAAAACTCAGAAGTAACCAAGAGTTCCTTCAGTAGGCATTTGGATAAATACTGCAGTATATCCATAATATGGAATATTATTCAGCATTGAAAAAAAGTGAGCGCTTATGCCATGAAAAAAAAATACGGAGGAATTTTAAAAGCATATTATTAAGTAAAAGAAGCCAATATAAAAGGGTTACATACTGTATAATTACAACTATATGACTGCTGGAAAAGGCAAAACTGTGGAGACAGTAAAAAGATCAGTGTTTGCGAAGAGTCAGTGGGGAAGGAGGGCAGAGCACAGAGGATATTTAGAACAGTGAAACTATACTATATAATACTTTTAAGTTATTACACATCTAGCAAAGTCCATAGGATGAATGTAAAATACCAAGAGTGAACTCTAAAATAAGCTATAGACTATGGGTGACAATGATATGTCAATGTAGCTTCGTTGATTTTAACAAATGTACTGCTCTGATATGGCATGTTGATAGTGGGGGAAGCTGTGTATGTTGGAGGTGAGGGTATATGGTAAGTTTCTGTACTTTCTGCTCAATATGCTGTAAATCAAAAACTGTTCTAAAAATAGTTTATTAAGAAAAACTGTCATGGGCCATTAAAAACCCCACTATGAAACTCCAAATGTCTACCCACTTATTCCTAGCTAAAGTTGAGGGCACAGGCCGCAATTAAAACATGATTTACATTAAGTTGAAAGATAAAGCAGCATTTTAAAAGCAGCTGCCATTATTTTCATTATTTATTCATAGGGTGCTGTGTAATTGCAGAATTGTGCTGAATAAAGACAAATGTGTGCTCTTTAGTGAAGAACTTACAGTACAAAGATAGAATGGAAATTTAGAACCAACTTGAATTTTTCAGGATCATCAAAACAGGCATTCTAATGGAAAGATGTGAACCCAAAAGACTCTTGTGTGGATATGTTTTCTTACGCAACATTTATATTTACGGTTCTTATGCCTAATTGCCTATTGAGAAGAACCAGACTGTCCTCGATTTGGACCAAGTGTTGGCCTGTATGCTTTTTATTAACTTGGCAAATACAGATGCATATTTCATGAATCTAATAATATTAGACAAATGACACTAAAATACACTCTAAACACTAAAGTGTTCAAATATGGGAAGTGGAAGCTCTTGAGTCTTACCGATCCATTATCAATCATTCAGAAGTGTTTACCTCAATCTAAAAGGTGCCATGCTTAAGGAATTTAGAAATAGCAGCATTATAGAATTCAGGCATTCACCCCCCCCCCCCCCCTTCTAGAAGTTTAAATACGTTTTCTGTGTTCCTATAACTAGTACTTGGTGTGCTTTTCTTCTGCTGTTGGTGTGTTTGTTTTGTTCTGTTAGGGCCAGATGAACAGTTTCCCCTAATTTAACTTAAAGCTTCATACAGGAATCAAACCCAATTTCCTCTGGCAGATTTTCTTGTTGCAACTTTCCCATTAGAGGAGACAGCTTGGCATTGTGGAGCTGTAGAATATTCATCCTGAACCCTTTGTCCCACTCCTCTTCCTTTCCACTTTCTGTTCCCACAGGACTGAACTACTCCACAGTTCCCCAAAGCACCTGCTCTTTCCTCTGCTTGTTGTGTCCTAACCTCCCTCTGTCTGGCTTACTCCTTAGCCTTGCAAACCCCAGTTTATCTGTGCCCTCCCTCGGGAAGCTCACCTTCCTTGCTGCCCAAAACTGAAACACTACCTCTGCTTCTACTCAGTAGCTTTCCTAGATGCCATGTACATGCTTCAAATGCTGCTGTTACTCATGGTGCCAGATTGCAACTTATTTGTTTTACAATCTCCCCCCCCCCCCCCCCCCCCCCAGTGAGTGAACTTCATGTCTGGCTGGATGCTATTATATTTTAATCATCTGTATGTTCAGATGTCTTCCATATTGCCTGGCTTTTAGTACTTGCTCAAGATATGTTGGATAAATTTAAGTGATGCACATTACACTATCACCATCAGTGAGTGGCGTTTTATTTAAAATCCAAAATTTATTTGTTCCCTGTTTCAAAATCAAAAGTTCACCTAAGAGAATTTAGCATCCTAACCAGGCGTTGCCCATGTCCTCCCCTTCTAAGTTTCCTTTTTAACTTAAATAAGCGTTTTCTTTACTGCAGTTTCTCCAAGTTAAGAAGTCAGTGTGATAGAGATGCATTAATGCAAGGAGATTTGCCTCAACATCAATAAACTCGAAAGGCTCCCAGCAGACCACTTGTAGTGTCAATAAAGGCTCATAATTACTTGCTCCTTTGAGCATTTTAGACCCAACCCCCTAGTTCCCTGGTTTGTTCTGCTGTGAATAAAGGCTGGTTCTTAACTTCCCAAACCTTAGGCAAAGAATGTCAGACATTGGTGAGGACCTGGTTTCCTATTACGAAAAGCAGCTAGATGTTATCATTATTTTAAGCCTTCCGGGGACTGGTAACTCATAACTCCTTTTCCTGCTCTCCTCCAGCATAGGATGGGTGGTGGGCCTCAGCACTTCTGGTTTGCAGAGGTGTAAACCCCAGGGGCAAGAGTGGATGACTGCTAGAGCTGCTGTGGGCCAGGTACAAAAGGTCGCCAGGGTGGAAAGCCCCAGGTGGCTAGCAAAGGACAAAATGTAGGGTGGGACCTCACCCTGGGTGACCTTTCCTCCCCTAGCTTAATGCTGCTGGTCTTGTGGTTTGGAGCCCCTGACCTTTCCCCCTTAGAGATAACATCTAAGCCTCAGTTGTATTTCAGCTCCAGACCCAGATAAGCAACAAAACCAGCACTGCTGAAGTGAGGACCAGCTGCATGGAATAATGCCAATCAATCAGTGGAGACCACAACCCTGAATAGACACACCTGGAAGGGTGCTGAATATTCCATTAAGATCTTTCCCTGGGACCTCCCCTAAAATGTCTACCTTTAAAACCCTTAGGATAGAGGACCCAGTGTGCTCTCCCTCCAGGGAGCCTGCCCATGCCCTCCTCTCCCCCTGTCTGCCCCAGGCATGTTACCATTAGCTTCCTCACTCCCAACTTCCAAGGGCCCGTCCTTTACCTTCATTATTTGTATCCTAAGAATCACTTCTTCTACCTCTGTAATTTACTAGACAAATGTCCTCTTACAGTTTGGGTCTTGCTCTGAATTCTTTCCCAGCCAGAACCCAAGTACCGAGGTTGTAAACCCGGGTTTGGTCTGACCCCACAGGTCAGACACCTGGTGCCCTTCCTGCCACCTGCAGAAGAGCCACTGCTCAACCTGAAGGAACAAAGATTGCAATTGACAAGTTAGGGGTGGGGAGAGGGGAGGGGAAGAACTTGGGATCCTTGCCTGTACATTGGTGAAAATCCTGGGCTCCAGGCACTGTCTCCTGCCAGGGGTGCAGCCCAAAGGACAGTAGAGAAATACTCAGACTGCGGACTGGAATCGGGGACTGGAAAGATGCCCCTGCATCAGAAGTGAGGAAACAGTTGGAGGGAGGAGAGGGTGAAAATCAGAGGATAAATACTTACTGAAACTTTTGAAGAAGAGCTCCTTCCTTCCTTCTCCCTCCCTCCCTCCTTTCTTTCCTTCCTTCCTTCTTCCTTCCTACCTTCCTTCCTTCCTTCCTTCCTTCCTTCCTTCCTTCCTTCCTCCCTCCCTCCTTCCCTCCTTTTTCTTTCTTCTTCCTCCCTCCCTTCCTTCCTCTCCTCCCTCCCTCCCTCCCTCCCTCCTCCCTCCCTCCCTCCCTCCCTCCCTCCCTCCCTCCTTTCTTCTTCTTTCTTTCTTTCTTTCTTTTTCTTTCTTTCTTTCTTTCTTTCTTCTTTCTTTTTTCTTTCTTTCTTTCTTTCTTTTCTTTCTTTCTTTCTTCTTCTTTCTTCTTTCTCCCTTCTTTCTTTCTTTCCTTCCTCCCTCCCCCCCTTCCCTTCCTAACTTCTTTCCTGTTTTCCTTCACATGTGTGGGAGTACTTGTATTTTTTTTTTTTAAGTTCTTTGGTGATTGCTTTTTCTCAGAATCCTGTTTCTCCTCAATGAAATTTAAGAGGGGTTGACGTTTCCTTGACTTAGGTGAGGAATTTCCGAATGACAATGAAAGGGAGTCACGTAAATATCCATAACGTGCCCAATGTCATCATTTGTTTCCTACAGGATCCTGAGTGGGGGTCATCCGCCACCCCCCTGAGGGGTAATAGGCTGATCCGTGCGTGTGTGTATTTATACTTTCCAGATTGAGCTATGCACGGTTTATAAAACGTCCTCTTTCTACTCTTTCATCCCCGACCTCCCCCCGCCCCCCCGCCCCAAGTCACTCTATTTGAGAGGCATGCGGATGCCTAAGTGCGCGCATGTGTGTGTTTTCAAAAGCTTGGAGCATGTGAACCCTTCTTGCAACACACCCCTTCTTTATCTGTACGATTTCGCCACCAGGAAGCCTCTCTAATCTGTCCGCAGCAGAAGCGCCCTCTCCACGCTCTACGGACGGGCGCCCTCAGCGCCTCCCAGTCCTGCGAGCTTCGGGGTTCTGGGGCTGCCTGCCTCGCTCTCCCCGCAGTGCAGGAGGGCTGGCTCCCGCGAGTGTGAGTGTAAGTGTGTGTGCGTGTGCATGCACGGCCAGGAGCTTGTTGGCTTCCTCTCCCCGCACAGCGCAGGCAGCGCCTGCAACGCTACTCTCCGAGCAGCCGCCGGCAACGCGAGGCGGCAGCAGCCTCCGCCTCCTCCGCTGGTGATTGGCTGGTTTTGCTCATCATTTCCCTGCTAGGAAAAGGGAAGGGCCAGTGACGCCCCCGAGCCCAGCTGCAGAAGCGGCCGTCTCCTTCAAAGCACAAGGTGTCTAGTCTTTAAAGAAATCTGAGCCCCAGGGAGGCAGCGCGGAGCGACCCGGCGGGGCTGGCGCGAACCGCTAGGGAGAGCGCAGGGCTGCGCTCCGGCACCGGGGTGAGCGTAGCCGCGGTGGACCCCCGCGACCTGCGCCAGAGACCCCGGCTCCACGCTCTCCTCGCATTTTACAGATAACGCCCCCCACCACCGGCGACTAAATCTCCCAACACGGAGCTTTTATATCCAGAGAAGGTGCAGGAACCGGGGCAACCACTACTGTCCCAGGCACCCAAGATGCGGTCCGTTAGGAAGAGGTGGACGATCTGCACGATAAGTCTGCTCCTGATCTTTTATAAGACAAAAGAAATAGCAAGAACTGAGGAGCACCAGGAGACGCAACTCATCGGGTAAATGCAAAGCTTCATTTCAGGATATGATTATTATTATTTTTTTAAAAAGTCAAGCCAGGAATGAGATGTGGCTGTAGACAATAGAGTGAAGGCTGGGGTGCTCTGTGTGTTCCTAGGAGCGTGTGTGTGTTTAGTCTCGGGAATTAAATAACAAAGGCAGTTGCCGAGGTGTGCGTGCTTCGCTAGGCGTGTTCCCGGGAAGAGTTCAACTTGCTGTGGGGTGGCCGTGACAGTTGTGTTGGCGGCAGGGCTCGCACGCCAAGAGGGAAGTCACTGCAGAAGTGTCAACAAAGAACGTGTGCCTTGTCCCTTTAATCCGCGGGCAGAACTCAAGGGAGATGTCTTTATTCGCCATCTGGTTGCCCTCCCTTCTGTATCTTATCGCTGTGGCGATGCCAGGGAAAGCTGGCTTTCCGAAGGGCTGAAGTTACAGCCCGGAAAGCAGGAAATGCGTCTGCACTCGTTACTCTTCTTTGGCGTGGGGTAGATCTGTGTATCTCAGTTTGAATGAGAAACTCCAGTACAACCAAGGATACTTTCTTACTTGCTCTTCTGTTGATAAAACACAGGGGCGTCATGGGTACTGTAGCTTCAAACACGACTATATTTCTGCCCTTTTTTCTTTCTTTCTTTAAGTTTGTCTAGTTGAGTTCAAAATCTTCCTCCACCCCAGTAAGTTCTCTAAATATCACACTTCCTTCCTCCTTGCCCCTGGCCTCTGTCTCTTTGAAGTTTACCCAGCGGGGTGGCTGCAACTTTGTGTTGCTTTACAAGGCTTGGAAGCGTTTGCTGAGGATATGAACCTGGTTGTCAAAGGACTGTGTTCAAAGTCCTGTTTTCGGAAATCCTCCCTCATCCGGAGGCGTCCGCTGTGGGAAACTACACACTGGCCACTGGCAGAGATGCCCGCTTTGCCCGCTCGGTTTTTATTTCCCTCGGCATTTATTAAAACGAAGATAGAATCCTTGCCCCACTCCCCCTGTGTGTGTGTGTGTGTGTGTGTGTGTGTGTGTGTGTGTGTGTGTGTGGCAGAGGACTGCTAAAACGTGCACAGGCACGCGAACTTCATGCACTCCATTTGTTCATATTCCTTCTCCCTAAGTAAGGATCATTTAAGTGAACAAGGCTCGGGCTTACCCTGAGGGAAGTAGTTACTATTTTATAGGAAACTAATATAGCCAGAAGCACAGCCGAATGGAACTGGTAGATGATGAAAAAGCTAATAAGGAATGGCCTGGATGGTCGCAATGCATCAACAAACCTGTAAGTGGGTCTTTTCCTGCGGGGAGCGGGGGCCACGCTGAACTGTGTGATGAGGTCGTTTGCACATGGAGTGGGTGGGTTGCACATGAGCCCGAGCTCAGTTGTCAGGAAAGGAGGACCTCGGGCGGGGGTGGTGGGCTTCCCTGGCCGGCCTGCGCTTCCCAGGCAGACAAAGGGGTCTTTCGGAAGGTGGTGAACCAGCGCGTGGGGGCGAGGCGGATGCCGGGGTGTGGGGGAGGCTCTTTGTTCCCTTCCGGGCCGGGCCGGTGGGCTCCGAAGACAAGCCTGAGCCCAGACAAAGCGGCCAAGCCTCGCCGGGACTCAGAGTGCGGGCCCACCGCTGGCGACCCGGGGAGCAGGAGTGGGCGGGGCGGGCGGGGCGAGGGGAGGCGCCACAAGCTGCCCAAACGCCCGCCCCGGGCCTCGGGCGGGAAGGAGGCGCGCACCCAGGTCGGGTCCCAACGGGGGAATAACAGACCTAGCACGCTCCTCAAGTCAGGGGCGATGTCGCTCCCGGGGCCCTCCCCGGACCCCGCGGGCCGGTGGGCGCTGCCCTGGACGCTGCGGGGAGGGGGCGGGCCGGCCGGGCGCGGCGGTTAGGTGCTGGGCTGGGTTCACATCGCACCCTTGGCGGGGTGCGCTGCGGTCTCTTCCCGGCTCCCCTGAGAAAGCTGGGACTGGCGCTGGAGTTGATCACTGGGAAGCGAGGTGTACACGAGGTTTCTCCCCTCCTCCCCAGAGCTGGCCGCGAGGGTGGGAGAATGATGAGAAGACGGGAAGCCTTTTGCAGGAATCCGGTCCCTTTAAAAGAGCATCACTTTTCCTGCTTTCCCGCCACCCTGCTCCTCCTCCTTAATTAAAACCCGCAATAACCGGTGTGCGGGGCGCGACGCAGTGCCTCGCAGCCATGGGCTTCCCGGAGACCTTGGAGGTGGCGCTGCCAGCGGCAATGCCAGGACAGCCAGGACCTGTAAGCGCTCCCCCTTTCTCTTCAGGATAAAGTGTTCAACAGGAACGCCTGTGGTGTTAGTTCATGACTGCGTTTTCAACTCCCAGACAGTGCTTCAGGTGGAGGGCTGGACGCATCAAAAGATCATTTCCTTGATTCTCTACGCACGCCACGCAGAGGGGCTAGTTTCCAGAGGAGTAAAGTAGAGTGGAGGTTTGGCCCTCGCGCCCAGACCTGTATTCTGAAGTGGGGTAAGGGAGGCAGTGTCTGACCTTTGGGGGGCACTGCGTGCCTTCTGAGTAGGCTGAGTGGATTCAATGAAGGGCATTCCATACTACTCATATCTTAGGGCAGCCCCCTAGATTCTTAATTAGGTTACTTGCTACCATTTTTTAATAGGCAGGCAGTTCCGTTGTCTATTGGACTTCTGCCTTTCTTAACTGCAAGTCCCATCTAGAATCAGTGCAGCGCTGCTCTCATGCACCAGGTTGAGCAGGCATTCCGCGTAGAAGGAGGGAGAACACCAGCACAACTTTCCTACCAACCATCCACATTTTCATCTGTCCACAGGAATACTAGCAGCATGGTTTTTCTAAGGGACTGTTTGAGAATAGATCAAGTAATTATTGGGCATTTTAAACGGAAATCCCCTTCTAGGCAAACCTATTAATAAAGTGGAACTCAAAGGGCATGAAGTGGTCTGTGCTTGATGAACATTTTTTTCTTAATGGGGAAATGACATTTGCCTTGCAATTGGCCCAGGATTTCACTGATCCTGTGAGTGCTCTTTGGGTGTCATTGGAAACGCGTTACCTTAAGTGTCCTACAGATAACAGTGTATGTGTGTATGCTTATTGAATGTGATAATGTATTTGAGAGTATGACAGAAATTTTAATATCATTCAAATATTTGTTTTGATTGTTATTCTTTAAAATGTGCCACATGCCATTTTCCTGGTTGACCACAAGTGAACTTTAACTTACATTTCTTATCATCTAGAGACCTTTTTAATTTGACTGTGTACCTTCTGTTGTCTTACCAGTATTAGTTCTGAAACTTTTAACTGAATTGACTGTGCAGATAAGCATTCCTACTTAGAAAACGATCATTGTCAGCAAAGTTCCCTCCAGCCTGTCCTAGGGTAGAACACACTCTTGTAAATCAGGAAACCCAGGGTCTGCACGTCCCTTCACATGTCCCTTTGGAGCTCTGCTAACAACCATCAAGCAGGGAGTTGAGGTAGGAAGTACATCTCTCATCTTTATTTTTAGTTGTTTGACACTAAGGTAATGAAAACAGAAAACTGACTGCTGTTTGTGTTCAGGCTTACTTGGATGCAAATTCTTTTAAATGATTTTCAAAAATTTATATTAACGAGGAGATTTAACCCAGTCCAAAGGAAACACATTCATTTCAAAGAACAAATCATGAAGAATTTTTCAGTAGAGGTGGGATCTAATTTCATGAAACAAAATTAATATGTGTTATATTCTACAGAATTAATAAATTGTAGTGATGCCTGACAACTCATATTTCAAATAGAAAAATATTTGTAAGTATTAGTAACCTAACTATTGATTAGTTTCTGTCACTAGCATTGCATAGATGAACATCTAGGAGGGCTTCTCTTAGCTTCATACAAGCAGGAAAACTTACATATATTGCTTTATGCTACATTATTTCCTTGATGTGTCTTGTAGTTTTCCTTGTGGAGGAACATGTTGAATCTTACTGTATATAGCCCTATGCCAGTGATGACGAACCAGGTGACTCGCAAACTCATTTTTTTTGGTTGATTTTTTCTTTGTTAAATGGCATTTAAATATATAAAATAAATATCAAAAATATAAGTCTTTGTTTTACTATGGTTGCAAATATCAAAAAATTTCTATATGTGACACGGCACCAGAGTTAAGTTAGGGTTTTTCAAAATGCTGACATGCCGAGCTCAAAAGGTTCGCCATCACTGCCCTATGCAAATGTTTTCAGCGCAGCTGTTCAGCAATCATGTCTGATATGGAATGAGAAACTAGTAGAGGGGGTGGTAGCCTCCTTGCATGCACGGGAAGGAAAAGCCTTTTCTAAGATAGAATGCTACCAAGTCACAAGTGAAAAATCCCTTGGGGCCCATTTAACTTTATACAAAGAAATTTGCTTCAGAGCCTCAGATTGCACTAAGCCAGGCCCTCTCACACAGGAATTTCATTGACTTCAAGAAGTTAACTAGTTGCAGCTGTTTGCATTCAATGATTAAAAACCTGAAATGTGGCTTATCACCAATTTAAATGAAAATAATTCAAATGGAATAGTAACATAGCATTTCATTAATATAAATCTGATTTAAACTCTAAAACCCCCCTTTTTAAAACCTGAGAGGTCCTGAAAAGGCTCCACACAGCTAGGTACATCATAACAATCATTCCGCCATGTAAAAATGTATCAGTAGCAATCTTCCATGGATATTTTAAAATGTCAGCCTGTGCATATTTTTACTTCTCCCATAAAAGTTTATTGGTGAAAACAATTATAATCATAGCAATCTATGGTTAGAAAAAGATGATATTGACAGCCCAGTTATTAACAAGATGCAGATTGGAAAGATTCCTACCCCTGGAAATGGTAAAAGTTTGTGTCATACTCTTAAAGGCATACCTAAAAAAGTGTGGAGATTAACTTCTGTGTATATCCACATTTTCATTCATATGTAGTTATTATCATTAGATATATAATGTAAAAACTGACTTCTGGGCCACTGAGTAGTAAATTGCTCCCTATGTTTTCTTGCATCCTAAATGACCTCTATAAAACAGTCACTATTAGCCATATATAGGCATGCCAATGTATCATTTTCATCAGTAAGATAGTTTAGACATTATTTTTTACAGAGTTCTAAATTTTACAGTGAGTAGTTGCAACTCATGCCTTGAGTTGCTTCAAATTGGAAATACATGTTTAAAAAAGAATGCAGACCAAAATACCAAACTATAAACTTCCATTACAGAATTCATCCAACAGCTGTTACACAAGCAGTGTTTCCATTGATAGTAGGAGAGGATTGCCTATGTAATAAACAGATTTAGGCTTTCTGATTGAGCAAATAGTTATGCTATTTTTTAAATTACACTTTTGAGAGTCTTAAAACTTAAAAGGTAATATATAAAGAAATAAATGCAGATGCTGAAAAGGTTATGCCATAAACAGGTGGCTTTCAGATTCTCTAAGTCTGGCTTTACATCTATAAAGTACCAAGAAAATAGTTTAAACAATGATCTAGTCTGCTATTAATGTTCCAATGGCATAAATGTAATCAGAGATACCTGTCACCATCATCATTATTTCCAGCCCCCCTGCTACTACCATGACACTGGGATACTTGATTGACACTACTGATTGAAGGGAGTAGCAGTGTTAATTTCTTTAATGTACAAGAAAATACCAGTAATAATGACTACTCAATGAGTTTTCTCCCCACTAGTCTCTGTCTCCCTACCACCATCAACTATCAGGAAGGTGTCTCTTGTTGAGATGACTCAAAGTAATCTTAGCAAGTAGCATGTTAATAGTGCTTTATAAATTACTTTCACATTCAGAGTCCCACATAATTCTCACAAAGTCATTGCACATTAGATAATTTTATTGCAGTTTCACAAGTTAAGATAAGGATTTAGTGGCCTAGAAAGAAAATATTGTCCAAGGTCATACAGGCTAGCAAGTGATAGAATCACCAACATATCCAGATCATCTGATATCCCAAGGTCTTCTTACTACAAAACAAAAGCTCTTTCCATTATGTGTATATGCCTTCTGTGAAAATAAAATTACAGTCTTGGGAGTCACAAGTATACAGATGCAGAAGAACTGGCAAAACATCCTGTCTCTATTGTCTAAAACAGTGGGAGGGATGGGCTAAACTGGAACAGGGCTTTGATGAGAATTTATTTTTTTCTTTAAATATCACAAAGACCTTTACATTTTTTTTTCAGGATTCTTTTTTTTTTTAAATCTAGATAGCATTGGCTTTTATTGGTTAACAAGGGTTTATGTTGGTATATATTATCATGTAAGTTTCAGGTGTTCAACATCATAGTTTAACATATGTGTACACTACAGCATGCTCACTACCAAAGGTCTAATTTCCATTTGTCACCATATAATTGACCACTTATACCCATTTCATTTTCCTACTACCCATCCATTCTGCTAACCACCAATGAGTTTGTTTTTACTTTGTTTTGTTTAAATTTTCTTCTTTCCACATATGAGTAAAATCACATGGTATTTTTCTTTCTCCATCTGACTTATTTCACTTAGCATAATACCTTCAGGATCCATTCATGCTGTCTTGAATGTCAAGATTTCATATTTTTCATGGCTAAGTAGTATTCCTGTGTGTGTGTGTGTGTGTGTGTGTGTGTGTGTGTGAGAGAGAGAGAGAGAGAGAGAGTGGGGGGGGGGGATATCACATCTTTATTCATCTGGGCATAGATACTTAGGCTGTTTTCATAACTTCTGTATTTTAAATAATGCTATTATAAACATAGAGGTGCATATATCTTTTTAAATTTGTATTTTAATATTCTTTGGATGAATAACTACAAATGGAATAGCTGGATCATATGCTAGTTCTATTTTTAATTTTTGAGAAATCTTCATACTGTTTTTTCATAGTGGCTACACTAATCTACAGTCCCACCAACAGTGTATAAGGGGTCCCTTTTCACAGCATCTTCTCCAATACTTATTTCTTATAATAGCCATTTTTACAGGTGTGAGATGATAGCTCACTGTAGTTCTGATTTTAATTTCCTTAAAAATTAGTAATGTTCAATTTTTTTTTATATGTCTGTTGGCCATCTGAATATCTTCTTTGGAAAATGTCTATTCAGATGCTCTGCCCATTTTCTGTTGGGTTGTTTGGGGGTTTTTTTTGTTGTTGAATTGAATGAGTTCTTTATATATTTTGGATATTAACATTTGTATAATTTGAAAATACCTTTTCCCATTCGGTAAGTTGCCTTTTCGTTTTGTTGATCATTTCCTTTATTGTCAAAGGCTATTTCTCTATGAAATAGGCTCTGTTTCAAAAAGAATAAGTGTAAATGATTGCCCTGATAAAATCATATTCACTTAACCTTTATAATACTTTTTATCATGGTTATTGAACTCTTCTAACTTGTAGAAAAAGTTCTATTTACTATTTGTCACTAGTTATCTAAATCAAATGTATTATGCTACTTAGACAAATGCTTCTTATTTTCACCAAGCTGGCATTTTTATTTTGTTTCAGAGATGGTGAATTGTATTTGAGTCGATCCCTTGTCAATAGTTCTGATAAAATCATTCGAAAGGCTGGCTCTTCAATCTTCCAGCACTCTGTAGAAGGTTGGAAAATCAATTCCTCTTTGGTCCTGGAGATAAGGTGAGTTTCTTTAATTAGGCATAATACATTTCACATCGTGTTCTTGGATATGTTGGGATTGGCAGACTTATATTGAACATTTAATTTATGGTTTAAGTATGAATACTTTAATATAAGAGTGAACTGAACCAGTTCTACTAAATGTTACTCACTGAAGAATATGAAACCATAAAACTGAAATCATTATGCAGTCAGAAATTTAAGGATGAATATTTGAGTTTGAATATACTGTCTTTATGGTAATGGAATAAGATATTTAAGTGAGTACTAATGTTTAACATACTTTTCTTCACTCAATTACTCAGGATAGCCATATTTTTGTGAATTATCTCTAACTTCCCTGTTAAGTCTTCATACTGATTTTGAGAGTTTTCTCACACTAGATGAAAACAGAACTTATTCAATTTCTATTTTGCTGACAATTATAAATAAATCTGACATTCTATCACTGGGTATTTCTATATGAGCTTCTGTGATAAAAGTCTCAGTAATTATATCTTAAATCAGAAAATAATTTTTCTGGAATACTTATTTATTATTTGGAATTTTAGGTGAAACAAGCTCTTGAAAACAAACTTGGTGCCTACATATATCCACTATATCTTACTTTCTTCAATTATAATCCTATTACTAATAAGAAAAGTAGGGTCAGCCTTTCCTAATTATGGGGAAGCAAACATAATTTTTCTCTATAGTTTCATTACTGTATTGGTCAGCAGGTTTTAAAAAGAGCTTTTTAGTAAGTCAGAACTAGTGTACTGATTGATTGATTGATTGATCTTTATTGTTGAGAGTATTACAGACCCCCCCTCCCTTTTTTGCAACCTTGCTTCTCACCATCTGGTTCCCACCCCACCCCAAGCCTTCACCACCCTATTGCCTGTGTTCATGGGCAATATATATATGCATGTAAGTTCTTTGTTTAATCTTCCCACCCCATCTTCCCTCTGAGATTCATCAGTCTGTTCCATGCCTCTAGTTCTATTTTACTCATCAATTTATTGTGTTCATTAGATTCCACATATAAGTGAGATCATGTGATATTTGTCTTTTTCTGACTGGCTTATTTCACTTAGCATAACCATCTCCAGGTCCCTCCATGCTGTCTCAAAGGTTAATGGATCCTTTTTTTTTTAATAGCTGCACTAGGGACCCAGTGCACGAATGCGTGCACCTTGAACGGAACTTTGGGTTGCAATGATGCGGTGGGCACAGGGGCGGGTCTCGGCCCACCCTCTGTGCCCCTGCCCGGCCCCTTCCACCGCGGCCTCTGGTCCCCTGTCTGCCAGCAGCCCCGCTCTTGCCTCTGCCACTCCCACGCGCTGACAGCACTGGTCCTGCTCACACCTGCTGTCAGCATGGAGCGATTGGGGCCAGCGTCAGCAGCGGGTGTGAGCACCCAGCTGGACCGCAATGTGCAGGAGTGAAGAATTTTCAGTAACCACCAGAGGCTTGCCCCTATGACAGTGACTGATGCCCTGCCTTGGTCTGGCGCCCCTGCTCACCTGCTCCACCATCCCCTTGAGGCCCATGCCCGCCATGTTCCGTGTGTGCTCCCTGGTGGTCAGCGCATGTCGTAGCAACTGGTTGTTCAGTTCCACCGTTCGGTCCATTTGCATATTAGGCTTTTATATATATAGACTAGAGGCCCGGTGCACAAAAATTTGTGCACTCAAGGGGGGTAGGAGGGGTCCCTCAGCCCGGCCTGTGCCCTCTTGCAGTCTGGGACCCCTTGGGAGATAACGACCTGCTGGCTTAGGCCTGCTCCTGGGTGGCAGAGGGTAGGCCCAATCGCTAGGTGCAGCCCCTGGTCGGGCTCAGAGCAGGGCTGATTGGGGAGTTGGGGTGCCGCCCCCTGTCATGCACAGAACAGGGCAGATCGGGAGGTTGCGATGCCACCCTCAGTCACGCTCAGGGTAGGGCCCATCAGCCCCCTGGGTTGTGAGAGGCTCCGTACCCTCTCACACTCAAGGCAGGGTCGATGGGGAGGTTGCAGCACCACCCCCTGTCACGCACAGAGCAGGGCCAATCAGGGGGTTGCGGTGCCACCACCTGTCACGCACAGAGCAGGGCCCATCAGGGGGGTTGGGGCTCCATACCCTGTCAAGCACAGAGCAGGGTCGATCAGGGGGTTGGGGAGCTCCCCCCTATCACACACAGAGCAAGGCCCATCGGAGGTTGGGGAGCTCCCCCCTGTCATGCACAGAGCAGGGCGGATCAGGGGGTTGGGGCGCCGCCCTCTATCACCCACAGAGCAGGGCCGATCAGAGGGTTGGGGCGCTGCCACTGTCACACTCAGGGCAGGGCTGATGGGGAGGTTATGGCTCTACCCCCATCACACACAGAGCAGGGCCCGTGGGGGGGGGGGGGCGGGTTGGGGCACCGCACCCTGTCACACACAGAGCAGGGCCGATCAGGGAGTTGGGGCGCTGCACCCTGTCACACACAGAGCTGCAGGGCGATCAGGGGGTTGGGGAGCTCCCCCCTATCAGGCACAGAGCAGGGTTGATCAGGGGGTTGGGGCGCCTTCCCCTGTCATGAACAGAGCAGGGCGGATAGGGAGGTTGTGGCCCCGCCCCCATCACACACAGAGCTGCGGGCGATCAGGGGGTTTGGGCGATGCCCCCTGTCACACTGATCCCGGTGCCAGGAGGCCTCTCAGCTCTGCTGATCCCGGTGCTGGGAGGCCTCGTGGCTCCGCTGATCCCGGTGCTGGGAGGCATATTACCCTTTTACTATATAGGATAGAGGCCTGGTGCATGGGTGGGGGCCAGCTGGTTTGCCCTGAAGGGTATCCTGGATCAGGGTGGGGGTCCCCACTGGGGTGCCTGGCCAGTCTGGGTGAGGGGCTGAGGGCTGTTTTCAGGCTGGTGGGTGACTGAAGCTCCCAACTGCTCCTTTTTTTCTTTTTCTTTTTTATTCTGGGCCAGCTTTAGCTCTGGCTCCAGCTCTGAGGCCTCTGCTGCTGAAAGCAGGTATCTGGTTTGTTTGGGTTCTATAATTGAAACTGTGTATCAACTCCAGCTCTGGGATCCCGGCGGGCTGAAAGCAGGTTTCTGTGGTTTTGTTTAGCTTCTATATTTGTAACTATGTTTCAAACTGCAAGCTCAGAGGCCGGCAAGGCAGGCAGGGAACGTTTGGTTTCCTCCGTCACTGAAGCAAGCAAGCCTCATGTTAGTTTCAAGCTGCCTGGCTGCCGGCCGCCATCTTGGCTGGCAGTTAATTTGCATATCTTGTTGATTAGCCAATGGGAAGGGTAGCGGACGTGCACAAATTACCATGTTTCTCTTTTATTAGATAGGATAGTACTCCATTGTGGAAAGATACCACAAGTTTGTTTTTTGTCCATTCATCTACTCTTAGTACTTGGGCTGTTTCCAGATCTTAGCTATGTAATCTAATAAAAGAGAAACATTCAAATTGATTGCACCTCCCCTCTGCTACTCCCCAAGTCACGCCCACCAGCCAATCAGAGCAACTATATGCAAATTAACCCAACCAAGATGGCGGCAGGAAGCCACAGAGCTGGAGCAAGCAGGAGGCTTGGTTTCCCCGGCAATGGAGGAAGCCAAGCTTCCCACCTGCCCTGGCCAGCTGTGGCCTCCGTTCAAGGCAGCAAAGTTTCAATTATAGAAGATAAATAAATCCCAGATACCGGTTTCCAGCCAGCCTCCACTGAGAGCTTGGGTGGCTGGGGGCCATGGCCAGCCTACAAACAGCCATCAGCCCCTCACCCACGATGGCTACACCCTCATGGAGTGAGGGTCCCTGCTGGGGGGCTTGGCCAGCCTGCAAACAGCCATCAGCCCCTCACCCAGACTAGCCAGACACCCCAGCAAGACCCCCCACCCTGAAGGGGGTGTTGCCAGCCTGCCAATGGCCCTCAGCCCCTCACCCAGGCTGGCCAGGCACTCCAGTGGGGACCCCCACACTGAGGGGCTGTGGCCAGCCTGCAAACAGCCATCAACCCCTCACCTAGGCTGGCCAGGCACCCCTGCGGGGACCCCCACACTGAAGGGGCTGTGGCCAGCCTGAAAACAGCCATTAGCCACTCACCGAGGCTGACCAGGCACTCCGGCGGGGACCTCCACCCTGAAGGGGGTGTGGCCAGTCTGAAAATGGCTCTCAGCCCCTCACCCAGGCTGGCCAGGCACCCCAGCGGGACCCACACCCTGATCCAGGACACCCTTCAAAGCAAATCTGCCGGCCCACACCCATGCACCAGGCCTCTATCCTATGTAATAAAAGGGTAATATGCAAATTGACCCTAACAGCAGAACGACTGGGAATCACTGGTCACTATGACACACACTGACCACCAGGGTGCAGACGTTCAATGCAGGAGCTGCCCCCTGGTGGTCAGTGCGCTCCCACAGGGGGAGCTCTGCTCAGCCACAAGCCAGGCTGACGGCTGCCAGTACAGCAGTGGTGGTGGGAGCCTCTCCCACCTCCTCAGCAGCGCTAAGGATGTCCTACTGCAGCTTAGGCCTGCTCCCCGCTGGCAAGTGGACATCCTCCGAGGGCTCCCGGGCTTCCAGAGGGATGTCTGATTGCCAGCTTAGGCTCAATCCCCTTGGGAGCGGGCCTAAGTCAGCAGGTAGTCATCCCCCTAGGGGTCCCAGACTGTGAGAGGGCACAGGCTAGGCTGAGGGACCACCCCCAAGTGCACAAATTTTTGTGCACTGTGCCGCTAGTCTATAATAATAAAAGCGTAATATGGTAATTAGACCAGATGTCCTTCCAGTCAACCTTCTGGATGAAACCAGGGCTGCAAGGGAGGCCTGGGTCCCGGGTGCCAGAGGAAAGCCGATGCTGGCAGCTGGGGGAAGGAAGGCCTACTCTTGCACGAATTTCATGCATCGGGCCTCTAGTTGTAATTAATGCTGCTATGAACATAGGGGTGCAAATATTCTTTCTGATTGGTGTTGCAGGATTCTTAGGATATATTCCTAGAAGTAGGATCACTGAGTCAAATGACAGTTCCATTTTAATTTATTTGC